TTGCAGTACCTTTATATGAAACCATGTGATGAGTGGTAGAGTGGTTATTGTGTATGTGTGTGTGTCTGCACACACACCCAAGGTCTCATGTAGAACAGACTTTCAATGGTTCTCGTGGTCTGTTAGGGCATTTGTGGGTCTTATCAAAAAGAAATTCTAACACTTCCACTCATTTCTGGGGAGCTGCTTTAGATTGCATTTGCCTAGAATATGTCAGACTTTGATGGTGGGAAGGCACGGAAGTGCCTGGAGATCCCCATCAGGCCATTCTCCTGAACTCCAGTGAACTGATAATACCCTAAAGCTCTTATACCTGCTTTATAGGATTGTGTTTTCTTATTCCTGGTGAACTACTACCTTGATATTACAAATGAAAAGATTAAGAAGGAAACTTTAGTGTGGGATTAAAGTTGGTAGACCCCTATTACTAATTCATAAAATGTATATTTAGTGTGCTTGGCTATTTATTTTCTCATAGAAACAAGTAATGAATGTGAATAATATTTTCATTTGTACCACGAATTGTATAGTTTTAAGGAACTGACACTACAGTATTTAAAGAGAGCAATTTAATTTTTTGACATCCTTTCCTTTAAAAGTCAACAAAAAGAAGGAACAAAATTTATTGTTAAATTAGGTCCAGTCCCCAAAAACTGCTAGAGGGAGAGTGGTTTTTGTTGTGGGGAACTAGACATGCAATTGCTTTTGCATGTTAAAATTTTTCATCTCAGACATTTCCATTATAGTCAATTATTATCTTACCAAGACTATAAATAGAATTTATATGGAAAACAGACCAGAAAGCCATTTAAATAAAGCATCATTCATTTTAGACAAAGGCAGAGAACAGCAAAATGAGAATCTGAATAGTTGTTATAAAACCTGATTTAGGCTAACTACATGATTTACTGTTGGTCAGTACCCTGAAGAATCCTGTGGCCTTTAGCAGCCATCACAGGCATGATATACTGCCTGGGACTACACTGGCCAGTGGTCATTTTATGTGTTGACCAAGTGGTAGCTTCCACTGTGCCCCCCCCAAATAAAATCAAGAGTGTGTGTGTGTGTGTGTGTATGAATAGCAACTTACAGGCTTGTATGATCTATGTATTTTTTACCCCTTTGCAAAACTTGATAATAGGTGACATATGTCTTCTTAGCATTAGGCTAGTAGGAAAATAACGAATTTGCAAATTGTTTTATTTTTCACTTTTCTTTTTTATTTGAAAGGCAGAGTTACGGAGAAAGAGGGAAAGAGAGAGGTCTTCTGTTTTCTGGTTTACTCCCCAAATGGCTGCAAGAGCCAGGGCTGAGCCTGGCTGAAGTGAGAAGACAGGAGCTATTTCCTTGATTCTACATCCTCTACTTTGGGCGCATTCCTCTTTTTTTTATTAGAGTGCATTGTCCAGTAGGTTCCAGTCAAAGAAAACATCTGAGATAAAATTTTTTTTTATTTTTATTAAAAAATTGGGAAGATTGAGTTAGAAATCTAGGGTGAATGTGCTTTCTACATAGACTTATCTTCAATTATCCTCCCCATTTTTAATCCCTTTTTTCCCCTTACCTCCTGGAGTACCTTCTGCCTCCAATTCCTGCAGCCCAAGTATACTTAACACTTACTTACTTTCTGTAAGTCTGTTGACATTGCCTTCCATCATCTAAAGTTTTGTTGACCTCTTCTTCAGGCTCATAAACAGAGCTTTGATGGGAGGAGCTTGTTGCCAGAATGATGGAATGCTTTCTTTACCACAAGTTAAAAGATGTGATATGGTATTATGTATTCCAGAATCTCCTTTATATTTAGAAAATACTTTTCTTTTCTGCTTAACTGTTGTCAAAACTGAGATGTATTGCAGCATTAATATCAATATTTTTGAGGAATTTAAAATATTTTCCTAAACGTAATCATAAGGCCTTCACCATGTTTATCAGATTAACCAGAGTCTCCCAGGTAATCTTTTGATTTCTGTTATGGTTACCATGAATAAAATCCAGGATGAAGTAATCGAAGGGATACTATTTCATACCAGCTTGGGTAGCGTAATCCTAGTACTTCTGAAAAGAGAAAAATAAATCCTAGATTGGAATTTTAAACTCTTACATGGAAGACATTTTTTTCTCCCTTAATGAATTTTGTTGATGAAGAGACTGTTGATTTGTTTTCTCACAGTCATGCCTTTACTGGAAGCTTTTGGTCAGACTTTCTAGACTCATCTCACAGAATGTTTTCAGTATTAACATGGGTAAAGGAAGCGATGAACAAAGACATAGGGGGAAAATTTAAAGTTTGAAATGAATTTTGCATTCACCCTATAGGTGTTGCTGCTTGTGTAACTTAAACATTCTGACTTTAGTTAATAAATCATATTAACTAAATTAAATACAATTGGTGTAGATTGAGTGACTTCCTACTTGCCACTTGGGACTACGCATTTTAAAATACTGTGCTACTTTAACTCCCCATTAATTTATTTACTTATTTTTTGATTTGTTTCTGAATATTTGTTTCCTTCCTACTCCAATTTACATGATTTTCCTTCTCTAATTCACACTAAACCTGTGACAATAGAGGAGCAGATGGATTTCTAAGGCAATGCTTCCCCATTTCAGTACACAGACAGATCTGCCGGGGATCTTGTTAAACCTCAAATTCTGGAAAGAGGCTTGAGAGTCCACATTTCTGTTTTAATTTTTAAAAATATTTATTGACATATAATAATTGTATATATTTATGGGGTCCAGAGTGGTTTTTCAGTGCATGTATACAGCATGTACTGATCAAGTCAAGGCAATGAGAATTTCCATTTTCTTATCCTTTATGTTTGTAGTTTAGAGCTCCTCTCAACCAGTTCTTCATAAAATATAAAATGTGTTATTCTTTCTTCTTCTTCTTTTTTTTTTTTTTTTGACAGGCAGAGTGGACAGTGAGAGAGAAAGACAGAGAGAAAGGTCTTCCTTTGCTGTTGGTTCACCCCCCCAATGGCCGCTACGGCCGGCGCACCGCGCTGATCTGAAGCCAGGAGCCAGGTGCTTCTCCTGGTCTCCCATGCAGGTGCAGGGCCCAAGCACTTGGGCCATCCTCCACTGCCTTCCCAGGCCACAGCAGAGAGCTGGACTGGAAGAGGGGCAACCAGGACGAACCTGGCACCCCGACCGGGACTAGAACCCCTGGGTGCCAGCGCTGCAGGCGGAGGATTAGCCTATTGAGCCGTGGCGCCAGCCAAAATGTGTTATTCTTAACTGTAGTCACCACACTGTGCTGTGGGACAATAGGAGTTGTACCTGTCACCTATCCTTTGTTTGGTATTTGTTATCTACCCTCTTTCTATCTCTCCACTTTTCTGAGTCTTTAGTAATTGCTGTTCTGCATTCAGATAAACTTTTTTTCTCCTCTTTTTTTTTTTTTTTTTTAAATCCTCCACTTGTGAGACAGACAGAACATACAGTATTTGTCTTTCAGTGTCTGGCTCATTTCACTTAACATGATATCTAATGGTTCCGTTCGTTTTGTTGTAGATCACAGGATTGCATTCTTTTTTTAATGACTGAATAATATTCCATTGCGTTTATGTATACCTTATTCTTTCTATCCGTACATCTGATGATGGACATCTTGATGGAGTCCATATTTTGGGTATGGTGAATAGTGCTGCAACAATAAGTGCAGATATTTCTTTGACATAACGATTTCATTTCTCTTGCAAGTAGACCTGGTAGTGAGATTGCTGGATCTTATGGTGACCTATTTTCACTTTTTAAAGGATAATCCAATTTAAAAGTAGACAAATAATCTGAATAGCTGTTTTTCAAAAGATTACACACAAATGACCACCAAAATAGAAAAAATTGCTTCATATTACTAATTAAGAAAATGCAAATCAAAACCATAATGAGACATCACTCCAGTTAAAATAGCTTTTGTATTTTATAAAAAATACAAAAATAACTAAAGCAAAGGACAGATGTGGCAAAAAGAGAACTCTTACACACTGTTGATGAGAATGTAAATTAGTATGGACGCCATGGAAAACAGGTTGGGGAGTCTGTATTTCTAACAAGCTTCCACGATGCTGATATTTCTGGTCCTTCTGACCACACTGAATTGAATAGAAGGGGTCTCATATACCTTGCGTATGTGAGTAAAGTTGACTGCTTCAGAATACAGTATATTTAAAAATCCATGAACCTGGAGCTTCTAGAGGTGCATGGAAAATCTTGTGTTACTGGCTGCTACTAAGTACATCGAAATAGTGCTGAATTTATTACTTCTAGATTAAAGAAAAAGTTTCATTGTAGATTACAATTTTTTTTATTTTTTATTTTTTATTTTTTGACAGGCAGAGTGGACAATGAGAGAGAGAGACAGAGAGAAAGGTCTTCCTTTGCCGTTGGTTCACACTCCAGTGGCCGCCGTGGCTGGCGCGCTGCGGCCAGTGCACCGCCCTGATCCGATGGCAGGAGCCAGGTACTTATCCTGGTCTCCCATGGGGTGCAGGGCCCAAGGACTTGGGCCATCCTCCACTGCACTCCCAGGCCACAGCAGAGAGCTGGCCTGGAAGAGGGGCAACCGGGACAGAATCCGGCGCCCCGACCGGGACTAGAACCCAGGATGCCGGCGCCACAAGGAGGAGGATTAGCCTAGTGAGCCGCGGCGCCGGCTGTAGATTACAATTTAGAAGTGATTTTAATACTATATTTTTATGTACTGATATGTGTTTTATATATTAAAATATACAATATCTATTTCTCCAAGTGTCTTTGATGAAAAAATATTATGCCTGATACCTGCTAACCTTTGATTTGCAACATTCAGGGGAAACATACCTTGGTATCTATAGCTGCTAGTTGCTAGGATTCTATTATATAGCATTTTGTGCTTATAACATGAAGCCACAGAGTATAATATAGACAAATCAATAACTGATTTCATTGTAAAGTTTGTGAATGATTTGATGTTATCAATGAAAAAAAGATTAACACTTTTTTTTATTATTAAATAGCTCAGTCTCTAAAAGAATTTGCAAGGCTGCTTATTGCAGTAGAAGAAGAAAGACGAAGATTGGTAAGTCTGTTCCCTACTTCTTAGGACTATTGCCTTGTTTAGACACACTTAAATAAACAGTAGATCGCTTGAATTAATCAGCTCTACAATACTCCCTGATTTGACACATGTCCTAAATACTACATGTATTTGTGAGAAGATTTGTGAGTATAATTATGAAAAATTATATATATAATATATAAGCTATATTGTTTGTTTTTTATCTACCACATATAAATTATCTTTATTTTACTTATAATTTAATTGTCCCGAGAATCAAAAATACTTAGATGCTACCATTAAAAAACCCATTCTAATTCAGCAAACATTTAGAAGTTATATTGTGATAACTTTGGTGCTGGAGTAACTAACTAACCCTACCAGGGTATTACATGAGGTTGTTTTGAAAGGTGGCACTGGAGTTAGATTTTTGAGGGCCAGGAAGATTTTGCTAAGCGAGGAAAATGGGCAAAGTATTCTAGATTGATGGATTAATTAATGCAAAGTTATTAGAGCATAGTTACTGGTAATATATTTAGCCATTCAAAAATACAATTTTGTATCTATTGAATTAAAATTTTTGTCATGATATCTAGTTTGTGACCTAATGTTTTTATCTGTGATGTGGCAGAAATAGTAGCATGTACTCCCATGATTGTTGTAAAGCATTTAGAGCAACCCCTTGCACATAATAAATACATGTTGATGGTGATAATTATGCTGCTAATTTTCAGTTACAGTGAGGGATACTGTCTTGTTCAAAACATTGGTTTTATTACTAGTTAAAGTGATCAGTTTAAGTTCATAACTGATTGTAAAGATAGGATTAAGTGTCAAAGGGATCAAATAAATAAGACCATGTCTGCTAATAAAATTGATAGAATTAAAAGGGAGGGAACAATCCAACGTTGGAAGTGAGATACACAGCAGACTCATAGAATGGCAAATGTCCTAAACAGCACTCTGGCCTCAGAATCAGGCCTTAAGGCATTTGGATCTGGCTAAAAAGCCCATGAGAGTATCTCAGGCATTGAAAGCCAAGATACTGTGGCAAAAAATGACCTAAATGAAAGATCTCTGTGAGTGAGATCTCACTGGAAAGAAGGGGCCATCAAAGAAGGAGGTACCTGTCTCTGAAGGGAGGAGAGAACTTCCACTTTGATTATGGCCTTGTTCAAATAAGGTCAGAATTTGTGAACTCAAGAGGCTTCCATAGCCTTGGCAGCTCATGACAAGAGCCTCGGGTGATTACTGATATCATGGGTAAGAGTGTCAATTGTTAAATCATCAACAGGAGTCACTTTGCACTTATTCCCCATGTAGGATCTCTGTCCTTAATGTGTTGTAGTATGAGAATTAACAGAAAAAATAGTCTTCAAACAGTACTTTATACTTTGTGTGTCTGTGTGGTGCAGACTTTTGAAAATCTTTACTTAGTGTATACTAAATTGATTTTCTGTATATAAAGAGAATTAAAAATGAATCTTAATGAAGAATTGGATGGGAGAGGGAGTAGGAGATGGGATGGTTTGCAGGTAGAAGGGTGGTTATGGGGGTAAAAACTTCTATAATCCAAAAGTTGTACTTTTGTAATTTATGTTTATTAAATAAAAGTTTTCTAAAAAAACACATTGGCTTTGCTTTCATTGGATTCACTATCCAGTTGGGAGTCATATACATAATAAATAGAATACTCAAGTGTGCACTAAATGCTCTAGGAATCTGGCAGAGTGTGGTGCTGCTAAACTGAAAAGGGTACCCTCAAGGTGTCCTGCATTGCTTGAGGTATGGAAGATCAGGTAGGTAGGGTAAGATTGTCATTTTAATGAACTTGAACTAAGCCTCAAGGTTAGAGAAAGTACTGTCTATATTTGAGAAATTGGGCAGATGGTTCTTAGAAAGGATTAGCAGACAGTTGATTGTGGCCAAGAGGTTTTAGTGTTTGCTATTAGTGGGAGAATTGCCAGGAGCTCCTGAAGGGAAGAATGATAGGATCAAAATGGGATTCAGAAAAGGTTAATTTGGCGGCCATGTGAGAAACAGATAAAGTAGGGAAGAAATACCAAGGGTAGTGTTGGTGGTGGGAAGGTGATCACATTCTTTTAGGAAATACTAGCCTACACCATGGATCTGCCCCCAGTATTAAAGAGACAAACATACAATGTGATCTAGAGTAGATACTTGTAAGGGTTTATGGCAGACTTAGCTTTTCTGGGGCAGGTTGGGGGTGGGAGGATCCAGAGACTACTTTCTCTGCAGTGACTTTGGTCTGAGTTGTAAAACCTAAGTTAGATGCTTTTAGATTATTTAGATGCTTTTAGATTATTTAATGCTTTATAGATACATCTCAGTCTAGCTCTGTGAGCTTACAGTGTTAGTCCAGCTTCCGCAGGGAGTCCTGGGCAGGATCTGCACTTACAGTGCAGAAGAGGAGCTGATGGTGGAATGGGAAAGAGTCATTAGATGTGAAAATTAAGAGTTGCAAATATCAGGGAAGCCAGGAGAACAAATAGTCCTGGGTTGCTGAGGCTGTGACTCAGATCCTGTTCAAATAGTTCAGGAGTACAATAAACCAACTGGCATGAGTTACAGTTTTTGAAAATGTGTTAATGCAAAGAATATGGGAAAGTGTGGTGTAGCTTGTGGGAAGAAAAAGAGTCAGCAAAATGTTCCTTTGGCACTGAGGAGAACTTGTAAGCACCAGGGGAAAAAAGTCGTCTTTGAGGAGGTAGAAAGAAAGAATTAGTGAAAACATAATAGAAATTTGTAACAATGAATTGATCAGTTGGACAAGTAGAGAATAGTATTAGAAAGGACTTACTATCTGCTATGAACAGAAGTTTCTAGAAGTAGTTTAGAAGCACCAGAGGCAGAATATTTAAGAGAAGAGTAGCAGGACTGCTAGTCAGCAGTGAATAGCTGATCAGGTTGTATACATCATGCATATGTCAAGGGAAAACTAGTAACCATGTTTTCATGGATTTTTCTAGTAATGCCCAGTACTTCACAGAGACAGTAAGTACAAAGCGATGGTCAGATTCAAATTGGTGGTTGGCATGGAGGACAGAGTGCTAGATTAAAGGGACATGGACTTGTATGCTATGAAAGTGGGTCTTGGGTCAGTATAGCAATAATTAAGGGAGGAGGGAACTGATACCTCTAGAAAACAAACAGGATGTACTTGATTACCTGGTTATGTTGAGGGTTCACTGGGAACAAAGGGGAACCTGGGAGAAGTCTCACAAGTTGTATCACGAATAGGAGTTGAAATGTGTGAGCTTGCTTCTGAAGCTGGGCCTGCTAATGCTGAAGTCAAGATGTGGCTGACCTGGAACACAGGCCTTGTAATTGAGAAGGCCAAGCTCAGAGACTGGGATGATTGATGGACAAGATCTGAAGGTCATCCAGTGTGGTGACAGGGTAGAGGACAAGGACAAAGGCTGAGGAGTGTGGTAGAGTGTCTTATCCACAGAGATGAAGATTGGACTGCCAGTGCTTAATGATTGATAGCTGTGTAGGTCTGCCTTTGGTCCTGTTTGTGAGGATGTGCTTTCATGAGCAAAGTCATACTGTGGATTTTCGTTGCTTTACTTGTTTTCTACAGAAGGTCAGAAATAATGTTCAAGTCAATGAAAAAAAATATATAGATACAGGCCTAAAGGAATGCATTTCCACACAATTGCAGTCAAAATTGAACTAATCATTTGTTGCGCAAATCTAAATTTTGAATAGTTCCAGTCATATGATGTAATTGTTAAAAATTTATTCATTTGTTTGAAAGGAGAAGAGAGAGGAAAAAAAGAGAGTCAAAGAGAAGGGAGCGATATCTTCCATCTGCTAGCTGGCTCTCCAGTGACTGGAGCCATCACTTACTGCCTCCCAGGATGTGCTTTAGCAGAAAGCTGGAAACAGAAGCAAATGCAGAACTCAAGCCCCAGCACTTTGATGTGAGATGTGGGTATCCCAAGTGGTGTATTAACTGCGAAGCCAAACACTACCCCCTGCCGTGGGATATTACTACAACTGATAGTATAGTTGAGAACAGATTTTGCATAAAGAGTTGTTGATTTTGTATTTTAAAAATCAGTGTTTTGTTTGGAAACTAGAATATTTTGTGTACCAGGAAATATTAAAACAGTTAATTATAAAGCCATTTAATCATTCTTTTTGATACATGATGAATGTTTTGCATTAAGTGATTTGAGCCGGGTCTTAAGTATCTCAAAACAGTAAATAAACAAAAATTAAATTTCCATCAAGATGTAAGGGGGCACTTAGTACTTAACACTTTAAATTCTCTTTTATTACCAGTGATTTACCATATTTAGTAAGATAAATATATCATTTTAGTGATTTAATGATTACAGAAATAGTCCAAAGCAAAATTGGCCTTAGAAATGAAACCTCTTCTTATCTTCTAAATCCTTCTTATCTTGCTAAATCCAATTGAAAATGTGTAAGTTTTTTTTTTTTATTTTAAGATTTATTTAATTTGAAAGGCAGAGCAATAGTGAGAGAAGGGGAGAGAGTGTGATTGATTGATTGATTGATCTTCTAACCACTGTTTCAATCCCTAAATGGCTGAAACAGCCAGGGGAGGGCCAGGCTGAAGCCAGGAGCCAGAAACTCCATCCAGATCTTCCACATGAGTCATAGGGGCCCAAGTACATGGGCCATCTTCCATTGCCTTCCCAGGCACAGTAACAGGGCACTGTATTGCAGGTGGAGCAGCTGGGATTCAAACTGACCCGCTGGTGTGGGATGCCTGTGTTGCAAGTGGTGACTTCACCTGCTGTGCCACATTACCAGTGTGAAAATGCATAACTTTTAGACAACAACAACAAAGAAATGACTCAGGGAAATAATGGAAAATGCATTTCAGAAACATTTGAGGGCATAGTTTATCATGTTTCATATTTCTCATTAGAAAAATAATTTTTTAAAAGGTTTATTTATTTGAAAGGCATAGTTACAGAGATTGAAGGAGAGACAGAAAGAGAGAGAGGTGTCTTCCATCTGTT